ACCTTTAAAAAATTCGTTTAAATTATTTTTTTTATTCGAGTTTAATTAACTAAGTAGATAATTAAACTCTAAGTAGATAACTGAGATAAATAAAGTAGATAAATAAGTAGATAATTATCTAAGTAGATAATTGAGCTTCGGTAAAAAATAAATTGTTGTTAATTAGTAATGTAAAATGTTTTAAACATTGTTGATAAGCATGACAAAATTTAGCAATAATAAAAAGTAAATGACAAATTCCATACAAAAGTTATCTATATTTTATTATAAACAGTTTAGCGGTTAATTTACGCAAAAAAAAGTTGTATTCATAGTCAAAGAAAGTAAAGAAATATTAAGATAAATCTTAACGTTGTGTTGTTCTTTGAACAATTTTAAACACATCAGGTTTTTAGCATTTTTACTATCAATTCTTAACAACTTCTTGGTTCTTTTATACCCACTTTTTCGCGTGACCTCTTAACTCTTTTATACACACATTTTCACGTGATACAATCTTTCTTAACACTTTTATAACCACTTCTTCACGTGATACAATATTTCTATCTCTTGTACAGCTAGCCTTACCACTTTCTCGCATATTCTAACTGAACAACAGCATATTGCAAATCAATTTTTAATTCCAAAAAAAAAAAAAAAACTATGCTGTAATAATGCATGTCGTAAATATTAGTACATATACATTTCTTCACTGGAATAAAAATTACATCATTTTTTGGCATATGTTTATAATGATTTTTTTATAACATTCATAATTATCTTGTTTAAAAAACATTTACTTTTCTTTTATTTATTGCTACTTAAGTTATGCGAACATTGCTTGGTTGTAGCACTAACGCGACGAAAATAAAAAAATTGCTTAGCAAACAAAAACAGGCTATAAGGATAGTTTCAAACGTAGATCGTTTCTCACACACACAAAAACTATTTAATGAACTCAACATCCTAAATGTATATAAACTAAACCTCTATCATGTTCTTATTTTCATGTTCAAACTTGATAAAAATGTTTTACCAATCTTATTTTATTCAATTTTTGAAAAAATAAATCACATATACCCTGCTAGATTTTCAAAATACAACTACATTCAATCCAAGCTTATTATTCCGCTACTAAATTCTCTATTTTAAATCGAGGGCCTAAGTTGTGGAACATAATATTAAATAATGAACTGAAAACTAATTATTCTCTAAACCAATTCAAAACAAAACTTAAGCAATTACTTTTGTTAACTGAAAATGAATTAATTTTTTTCTAATTAAGCTTCTTTAATTTTGAAATCAATAGTTAATAGTTAATTAATTAATTACTTTAGAATATTAATACATAATTAATCAACAAATGTACATATATTTTTAGTATTTTAAATTATAATCTTCTTTTTGAGAAATTTATTTTTATTTTTGCGTTATTTATTAATCTTTTACTTTTATTTTTTTACTGTTTATTTGCTTTTACCTTATTGGCAATGTAAAAGTATTATAAATATGATTAAATAAGTTAAACTATAAACTGCTCGAACAATAAAATGTTTTTTATATAAAATCAAATTTTCTTATTTTTCAAACCAATTCTTAAATGTTGTTTTTGCCATTTTAATATTTTTATTAAATTTTGTTTCTTTTATTTTACAAAACAATTCTTAAATCTTGTTCTTTAAAAAACTATAAATTTTAAACGATATGCGATATATTTACGTTTTCTTTTATAATATAATAAGAGATATATACATTGAAACTATTTTATTGTTAAACTATATTTTGTCTAGTAATGACGCGTTTTTTGGGGGTTAATGATAATACTAAATTTGTCTTCTTCAAGCCCCGGTCATGTAAATATTTTTTTTTAAGTTACGATTGTAAATTTTTTTTTTTGGCAAAAATTGTAAAAATAAAAAAAAATAAAAAAAAATTATCAAAAATTCTTTAAGGATTATCTCTTTTTCTTCACAATGTTATCACCTCATTCAACACGACTGCTGATGTCAACACGATTCTTTTCTTTTTGAATTCAACACGATTACTTTCGTTTGATGTCAGAGCAACTTAATGGATGGAAAAAATATGAAGTATATATACGTAATGTATGATTCGGTTTTAAACAGAGTTGAACTACCAGAAACCAAAACTGAAAAAGATTTAGGATTATGATTTCAAACCAAAAATGGTCTAGATAAGTTAATTATGTGTCAGGTAAAGCTAATAAAACGTTAGAAATAATAATGCATTCATTTAAAATCTGAGAGATTTTTTATTTTTGGTGCCCTGCGTCTCTTTCCTTAACAATTTCATAAAACTTGCCTAGAGGCGGCTTTGAACGACGAATCTCTAGCTACTGAGGCAAGTGCGCTAACCTCTCCGCTACGGCTGTTCAATATACTCATATCATTATTCAATAGTTAGAATAAGATAAACAAAAAAAAAAAAAAAAAAAAAAAAAAAAACACATACACACACAAAAAAAAACAATACAACGTAAAGCAACATGAACAAATTGTCTTCAAGGGAAAAGCTATGAAACAAGATTAACCTACTTTAAATGAGCAACATTTAAAATAAGACGTGACAGTTATGACCTAATCCAATTTTAAAAAATAGTAAAAAATACAGATAATTTAATAGTTTTAATAGTTTCAAATACAAGAGGTCATAACATGAGGTTTCATAGACAACAAAAAATCCAAAGATACTATTTCTTAACAAACCGTGTTATTAACAATTGTAATAACTTAGATCAAAACATTGTAGATTCTAAAACACTTAAAGAGTGAACATAAATCGGCTGTTAAAGCCTAGATTATTCAGACTCCGTACATTGTTGTTGTACATGCACATTATTATTATGTTTAAATTGTTATTAAATTATTAAAAATGAATCCATAAAACTTTTAGAATATTCGTTAATAATTCTGTGATTATGATTCTTAATCATCTTTAATTCAATAATGATTAAAATTTATAATGGTTCTTTTTCTACATAAATAATATTCAACCAAAATTAGAAAAACAATTGGTTAGATGTACCGTCCGTATGTAGCATTAAAAGAAAACCTAAAACTAATTAATTTTGGCTTACTACATTGTATTATTAACTACTTTATATTATAAAGGACATAAACTTAAACTTGGCAAGTTGTAATGGTTATAACTAATCTTTATAAATGTTTATATACCAACTACAGGGGCGGATGAGGCAATTTTCGAGACTTTCAGACATAGAACATCGTAGTCTGCGTGAAACCTTGCCTTAAGAATATATAGTTTTCCGAACCTTGTTCAAAAACATCATTTATATCTTTTTTTTTATAGTAAAACAAACATATAAAAATTTATTTATAAGAATATTATTGAATTATTTATCTCGAGGCTATACTTAAACTTTAAACATGCTTGAGATTTGCTTCTTATTAATGTTTAAAAACTCAAGTTAATAAACTAAAAACACGCAATTTTATAGCCCCTGAGTAAAAAGTTAGTTTTAATTGTTCAACTTTTTTGTTAGACAAATCTGAGCAATGTGTTCAATTTATAATCTTTAAATTGATATAGTAAAATAAAAATATAAAAATTGTGTTTAAAGACATTTTTACCATATACACCCCAACAGAGACGTATTTGAATTTTTGGCGCCCTGGGGCACTGTTCCTTTAAGCGCCCTTTTTTAAGAATAATGTCAACTTTGATATGGGGTGATCATTAAAAAAAAAAACATTTTTTGTACCAACATATATTAAGTTATATTAATCACTATAGAAAATTATAATTTTCTATGTGAGTTTTGTTTTGCAAATGTATTTATAATGTCATTAAAGTTCATATCTATGGTAAGTACAGATTCTATAGATAGAATTGCTAACCTATTAAGACGATCACTTGTCATTCGCGACCTCAAATAAGATTTAACCCTCTTTAATGCTGAAAATGATCTCTCGGCTGAACAATTGGACGTTGGGCAGCATAGATATATTCTTAATGCTATATCTACATAAGGAAACAGCTCTTGAAGTTTTTCAGTTCTGATCATTTTATAAACATCTATTATAGTTTTAGGTCTTAAGTTTTCAGTTAAACTCATTAAATAACTTCTGAATTGTATACACTCGTTAGCAAATGAAGACGAAAGATCATTTTTATATACATTTTGAAGTACCTTTGCTTTTTTGTAAACTTCTGATGGCGAAAGTTTTATTATTTGAAATAAAAAGTTAAATTTTTTATTGGCTTCATCATAGCACAATTTTCTTCTTTCTAGTTCAGAATGAAGTTTATCAATTATAGCATAATATGTATTAATTCTTAAAGAGTCTCGAATTTTAAAATTTGTTTCTTCTTCTCTTTTTTCATCTGCAGTTAGTTTTCTTTTTCTTTTGCGTATTTTTCGATATGTTTTGTGTCCTGACTTATTTATTGCTCTCTCTTCATAGATATCAAACATACTCCTTAAATCTAATACATATCGAATTAAAGATTCGTATAAACTTACAACTGTTTCTAAATCAATCTCAACTGACTGCAATTGTTTGCTAGTTTTGTTGAATCTCTCTAGTATATCGTCCCATAATGTGGCCATTATAGCTGTTTCAAGACTATCCAGTTTTAAATATAGCCCGTTAGCTTCTGATCTTGTAATAGATTTTTCTGTTTTATCATCTTTGATAAAAGACAGTGCATTAATTATTTCAATCCAATTTTTGTTTAAACTAATACTTGCATCAGATCTTGCTGACCATCTGGTATCTGATAGTTTTTTAAGAGATACATTTTCTATTTTAATCAAATTCTTCTGAAGTATTTCCCATCTATAAGTAGAGGCACTGAAAAATTTATAAATATTTTGAAGCAGAATAAAAATTCAGAAGCATAAATACAACAGTCCACAGCGCACTCACCAACAAGATTTAAAGAGTGTGCCGAGCATGGTACAAATGTTGCTAAAGGATTAACTTTTTTAATGCGAGCTTGAAGTCCTGTGTATCTACCAGACATATTAGACGCATTGTCTAACTTTGACCACGACAATTATTAATATCTAATCCATGCGATTCTAAAACTAAAAATACAGCATCTGCTAATTCTTCAGATTTATGACCAGAATTAGGTAAAAACCCTAAAAATCTTTCTACCGGACAGCCATTCTTTTGAACATACCGAAAAATGAATGACAGTTGATCTACATGGCTAATGTCAGGAGTAGAATCAATACTGATGGAAAAGTATTTAGCTTCCTTTATTTCTTTCACCATTTGCTGAATAACATTATCTGCCATTATACTTATGAACTGCTCATATATATTAAATGATAGGTATGATGTTGAACCTTTTCCTTTATTTCCAAACTTCTCAATGTGTTGTGCTAAAAAAGGATCAAACTGAGCAATAAGCTCAGTTTGATCCTTTTGAACTTATGAACAGATCCAAAACGGTCATCATCACCTCTAAAAGACATTCCACGAGAAGAAAGGGATTTCACAACAGCTACAACTCTTGTCAATACATTTTTCCAATAATTTATTTCTGTTTCTACTTGATACTTTAGCTTTTGATCAACTCGATTTAATACTTCTTTTCTTTCTTTCATATTCATTACACACAATTTGTGGTGTTGTGAATTTTCATGACGCTTGATTTTTTCTTCTCCTTTTTTCCAATCTGAAAAACCAACTGTGGCAAACGATGTAGTGCCACCAAATAAATAGCAGGGAGCACAAAATATTGATCCTTTACTTTCTGAGTAAATCAAAAATGTTCGGTTAATTTTTTCACCATTAACAAGAGTAGATATAAATATACTTTTTGACATATATCGAAAACGAGTACGTCTTACCCCACCAATTATTTGAGTGTAAATTCTTTTTGACTTTTGGAAATTGTTGTTCTCTAAATTTTGGTTAAATCCATTGATTGATAAATAATCTATCGTTTCTTGATTTTTTATCCAATTGGCAGGATCATTTCTAAAGGGAAAATATATTTGTTTAATATACAAAAACCAAAAAATATTATTCAAAGTTTATAACAAATTGTATAAAAAAAACATTCAAGCATTAGGTAATAGAGATAAATGCATAATATAATATAACTAGAGGATATAGGTATCGTTTAAAATGTACAGAGTGTACTATATTTGTTAATAATTTAATTTCCAGCATAATTTTACATGACAAGCGACTTAAAAAAATAGTCTACCTTTGTACATGTTTATAATTGTAACCTACCATGAAAAAAATTAAAAAAAGCTTACTCAGGAACAATACTTTGTTTAGGAAGGCTGTTATGTTCAACCATTGGCAAACGTGGTGTATCATTTATTTCTTCCGATTCTGTAGACAATAGAGTTTTACTCGTTTCTGTGCTGCTGTTATTTAGTAATATAAGATTGTCTGGATTTGTTAGATTATCTTTATTAACAGTGAATCTGTGATCATTTTGGTTTCTATAGAGAAAAATATAATAAATTTTGTATAACATGCATGTACCAAAAGATATTATTTATAAATTATATCAAATTTTAAATAAAGATTTTACAATAAACATTCGGGCTTGTTATGTTCATGCATGGACAAACAGGGTGTTTCATTTAGTTCTTTGGATTCTGGAGTCAATAGAGTTTTACTAGTTTCAGTACAGCTCTTACTTGATAATATTAATATTAAATCGTCTGGATTTGATAGGTTATTCTCATTAACAATAAAGCTGTGATCATTTTCATCGCTTGTATTATTTACATTTTCAACTGAAAGCATAAATAACGATTACTACACATATCTACATTTTAGATATAAATTATTTACATTTAATAATAAATAACATAACAATATGAAGTATAAACAATAAATAACAGAACAATATGTACCTATATGTATATATATTTGCTAGAAAGCAAAATTAATAAAACGTATGGTTTTCTAGCTAAATAAACTTACCCGGCGATGTGTGAAGCTGTTTATCTGTAAAGCTAAAATATGTTTCTAACTTAGCAGTCTTTAAAAGTATTTTTGCTTGAGCTTCAATTTTTGCATGGGTTCGTTTTCGGTTTTCTGGGCCACTAAGCTTTTTACTATGAATCATCATTGCTTTTTAAAATAAGAATCCTAAAAAGTGTGTATTATATATATATTGTTATCATATATATATGATAACAATAATGTTAATACTAAAACTAAAAACAATAATCGAAATACGAATATTTACCTTTTTCAAGACTGTATACTGTAATACAAGGGATTAAGCAGACAACATACCGAAGAACAAAATACTTAGGCCAACAATAAAAAAAACTGACAGCAATCTTAAAAATTCAAAATTATATTGTGCACACGTGGTATACACAAGATGGTTAGCAAAAAAGGCGATCAAAGTCAAATTGCTAATTTAATATAATTAATGCGTAATTTATTCTGCTCATCACTTCAAATTATATAAAAATAAATTAAAAAACAAACTGATTATTTAAAGTTTAAAGTATTTTTAAAGAGTTTTTTTTTTTAGAAAATGTAAAGAGAATCTTTGAAGAATTATTTCATTTTTTAAAAGTAAATAGCTGTGTCTATACCTAAGTATTTCTATTAATAAAGTCAATTAAGAGTAAAATGAAAATGTTAGGTAAAACGCACCATTTATTTTTTTCTAGTATATTATTTACTAATTAATAAATAAGGATCAAGTATTTGATTAATAAAAATTATAAATCATTTATTCAAAAAAATATATAAATTTTATTTATATCAAGATTAGATAGTATATTAAATAAGAACACTCGTAGGAGTAGACCTCGGAGCGCCAGCGTCAGAGTGATGAGCTTAACCGTTAAGCTATCGCTACATACCGTATCATTAAAATATTTATAATAAATAAATAATTTGTTTAGACACGTGACTTTCAGTATCAAATCAACGTTTTTAGATGAATAATTGGCGCATAATTATGTATAATTTGCAAGTTTAATTTGATCTCCTTTTGATTGATATTTTCTTCTGCTAACTAAATTTTTCTAAAATCAACTAGAGATATTTAGTAATTCGATAAGTAGGTCTATGATTTGAACATAATAATAATATAAAAATTTTCGTGAAATGATATAAATAGACTATTTTACAATTTTCTAAAATTCTAACATTCTGAAAGCTGGCGCCCTGTCAAAACATGGCGCCCGGGGGCCAAAGCCTCCCCTGGCCCCCCCGTAAATACGTCTCTGCACCCCAACCTAACCCAAGATATGAAGAAAGCTATCATATCACTGAAAAATAATAATAATATCATCATCAAGCAACCCGACAAAAATGATAGCATATACATCTTAAAATTTTTTTCCTATTAGCTTCGATGCATTATCAAAACCATGGCCATTACATGGCCATGGTTACATGGCCATGGTTACATGGTCATTACTAAACTTTTAACGAAAGATTTATATGAAAAATGAAAAAAAAATCTTATTTGATACTTTTGAAAAAAAAAAGATGAAACTTTAAAAAAAGATTAAAAAAAGTTGAAAAAGTTAAAAAAAAAAAAAAAGTAAAATGAGTATTTATAGCAAATGGTATTATATATATTTATATATTTGAAGCTATATTTCTTTTAAGATAAATGAGAAATATGAATTATTTGTGTTTAATAGTTTCTAATAGTAATAATCAGATATCAATTGTATTGAAGTCTAACAGCGAGAGTATATTTGATGTCAAATAAACTCTCGCGGTTGTCTCACTAAACATTTACCTCATAGCCATTAGTTTTTGGATAAGGTTATGGAGTTGGTTACTGGACTTATTCTATGCAAGGAAAATAATCTAACTATTCATTAATGCAAAATTTGTGTTTTGATAACATGTAAAAGCATCGGGTTTTAAAAATTTGTTTTTAATTTTACTCGTTTTATCTTCTGTTTTATACAACTTGACTTTTTCTATATATATATATATATATATATATATATATATATATATATATATATATATATATATATATATATATATATATATATATATATATATATATATATATATATATATATATATATATATATATATATATATATATATATATATATATATATATATATATATATATATATCTTATATTGTTTATATCTGGAGTCTGGGTAATCTAGACTTTAACAGCCGATTTAAGTTCACTCTTTAAGTGTTTTAGAATCTACAATGTTTTGATCTAAGTTATAACAATTGTTAATAACACGGTTTGTTAAGAAATAGTATCTTTGGATTTTTTGTTGTCTATGAAACCTCATGTTATGACTTCATGTATTTGAAACTATTAAAACTAATAAATTATCTGTATTTTTTACTATTTTTTAAAATTGGATTAGGTCATAACTGTCACGTCTTATTTTAAATGGTGTTCATTTAGAGTAGGTTAATCTTGTTTCATAGCTTTTCCCTTGAAGACATTTTGTTCATGTTGCTTTACGTTGTATTGTTTTTTTTTTTGTGTGTGTGTTTTTTCATTTTTTTATTTGTTTATCTTATTCTAACTATTGAATAATGATTATGAGTATATTGAACAACCGTAGCGGAGAGGTTAGCGCACTTGCCTCAGTAGCTAGAGATCCGTCGTTCAAAGCCGCCTCTAGGCAAGTTTTATGAAATTGTTAAGGAAAGAGACGCGGGGCACCAAAAATAAAAAATCTCTCAGATTTTAAATAAATGCATTATTATTTCTAACATTTTTTTAGCTTTAACTGACACATAATTAACTTAACTAGACCATTTTTGGTTTGAAATCATAATCCTAAATCTTTTTCAGTTTTGGTTTCTGGTAGTTCAACTCTGTTTAAAACCGAATCATACATTGCGTATATATACTTCATATTTTTTCCATCCATTAAGTTGCTCTGACATCAAACGAAAGCAATCGCATCAGCAGTCGTGTTGAATGAGGTGATAACGTTATTGCAAAATTTGTGTTTTGATAACATATAAAAGCATCGGGTTTAAAAATTTGTTTTTAATTTTACTCGTTTTATCTTCTGTTTTGTACAACTTGACTTTTTCTTTTCTTTTTTTTTTTGTTCTTTTTATTACATTTTAAATAAGCATTTCGTTACAATATTTAAAGTACAAATATATAATAATGATATATTATTATATAATTATATAATAAAAATATATATAGTGATCGTTATTAAAAAATAAAAGTACGCGAGGACTCGTAGAAAACCTTACAGTCTTGCCGTCGAGTTAAGAAACGTTCATGTTAAAATTTATAAGATTTTTACAAGATAAATAATAATTAACGAAATAAGAAACTTTCTTCAAGAGTATATATACTTGGAGATAAACAAAAAAAAAAATTAAAAAATAAGTAAAATAAATAAATCTGGCTACTGTCTTACAAAAGGCCACACAGGCAAAGACTTAGGGAGTTAACAGATTCTATTTGTTAACCAGCCTTGCACCCCTTCCTCGTCTGTTAGGCTGGCGCAGATGTATTTATAATACACTGTTTCCAGTTTAAAATGTTGAATGCTGGATCTTCTTGACTCAATGCATGTATTTTGCTTGTGCCTATGTTTTTGTGACCAGGCAACTCATTCTATTATCTCCTAATGAGGGTACAGCTCTAAAACTATAAGCTATAGTTTAATGGTTCTGAGGCCGGCTGGTAGTCAGGTTTCCCGAACTCTGTAGTAGCTCTTAGAGTGGTTGATTTCATCAACAGTTGAAAAATATCAAAGTATTAACAGTGCCATGTTGCACATTGATAGTGTCCCTGTTTGTACTTTTGGTGTGCATTGTCAAGGCCACATTTGGAGCCCTTTGTTACGGCTTAGGGTTTATTAATAGTAATAAAGTAATTGTTTGGATTATTAAATAGTGCACTGAGTACTGCCTATGCTTTAAGTTAAGTTCTTTAAAAAAATTAAAAATGAATAAAGTACCAAAAACTATAAAACACAAAAAATCATCGTCATCACCAAGTTCTCTAAACCTAACATTCAATAATATTCGTGGTCTTCGAAGTAACATTTCTTTTGTTGAGTTTTATCTCTTGCAAGGTTTACCAGACCTACTTGCTCTTTGTGAGACTAATTTGAATTCAGCTATTTCATCTTATGATCTTAGTGTTGATGGTTATCTTTCTTTAATTCGCAAAGACTCTAATAGTCATATGCTGATTATTGAACCCTTATTTGAAGATTATTGAACCCTTCCTTTCCATTCGTAGTATAAAATTTGTCCTCGATGGACAAATTTTATACTACGAATAAAATTTCCCATTTCTTCATATCCTGTAATTCCAGGGGTTCCTCAAGGTTCTATCCTTGGCATTATACTCTTTTTAATTTACATTAATGATCTTCCAGATATTCTCATAAGTAAGGTGGCATTGTTCGCTGATGATACTACCATTTATTCTTAACGTGATAAGAAGCCAACTCTCTCTGATTGCTTAGAGAGGGCATTCAAGCTTTAAAAGGATCTCACTTCTGTTACAGCATGTGGCTCACAGTGGCTGGTGAACTTTAATTCAGATAAAACTCCATTTTTTTTAGCCTATTGTTATCGCAATAATTTAGATCTTCCTATATTTATGAGCGGTAATGTACTAGATGAGTCGTCTATCCTTCATCTTCTAGGATTAACTCTTACTTCCGATCTTTCTAAGAAACCGTATATCAAATGCGTTGCAAAATTAGCATCCGCTAAGGTTGCATCTCTTTATCGAGCTTGACACTTTCTTACTCCGGATTCTATTTTCTATCTCTAAAAATCACAAATCCGGCCTTGAATGGAATACTGTTGTCATATCTGGGGCGGATCTTCTAATGATGCTCTTTTCCTTTTTGACTAGGTGCAAAAACGCATTGTAAACATAGTTGAACCTGCTCTTGCAGCCAACCTTCAACAATTATCACATCGTCGTAATGTTGCTTCTCTTTCTTTTTTCTACAAATACTATAATGGTCACTGCTCTAAAGAAATAGTGTCTCTTGTGCTATCTATTAAAATTCATTCTCGTGTTACTTGTCATTCAATTAAGTCTCATCTTTTTTCTGTGACTGTTCCTAAATGCTTCAAAACTCTTATTCGTCTAGTTTTTATCCTCAAGCATCAGTTCTTTGGAATTCGTTTCCTTCATCTTGATATACTGATTCATATAATTTGCAATCTTTTAAGTCGTCTGTCAATCGTTATCTTGCTCTACAATCTTCATCTTTTTTCTTCCAGTAACTCTAATCGTGGTTGCTTGCAGTCTTGTTGGAAGCAAAGATGTTAAAAAAAAAAAAAGAAAAGTATTAGCTTTGAGAAATAAAATCCTGAGTAAAATCTTTTAAAACTATTTTATTCCATAAAAATGGTCCGCGATTATCAATACAAAATTAA